TACTGTGTGTCTGCTGAACGCGGCCATTGATTCTCGGTTCTGTCTACAATGGTCGTAGTCGTAGTCGTAAGAATAATCGACTGCGATTGGTCAATTCAGTCAGTCGCATAAGAATTGACCAATCGCAGTCGATTATTCTTACGACTACGACCATTGTAGACAGAACCGAGAATCATTGTAGCGGAGGTTTTAATTGTTCAATTCAGTCAGATACATAAGAATTAACCAATCGTAGTCGACTATTCTTACGACTGCGACTTTACGACTTCTATGTAGACGAGGCTTTACTTCCGCCATGAAGAATAGAGATAAGGAGGGTCAACTTATATGGGCGGATGCGTCAGATTCTGAGCCCAAAAATTGTCATCGCTGCTAGTACTAAATCCTAATCGAGATGTCGCTTCCGTTCCACGACAGCGTTCTCACGTACACAGTATGAGTGTGTATTAGTAGACCCGGTGTGAGTGTGTATATATTAGTGTACCATGATTTATCCCCTCCCGACTTCTGTTTAGCAATAGTTTGTCTACCGTAGCGCCGCCGGTGTACATATTTTGAACTACCACAGAAACCAGGTTTTGGTCTCATTCTCGAAAGCATTAGTTGAGCCTCCTTATCTCTATTCTTCATGACTTCCGCTTTCGCTCGGCTGATTCCAGCGCCTTACGCCCGTTTTCATTTTTGGAACTATTCCGCTACACCCATTTTCAAGCACTGCCGATAAAGTCTCCACTTGGTGTGCGTCCGCGCTACGCCCGTTTTTCAAGCGGGTAATACAGTGCCCAATTTTGATTGTGTTCCGTGCTGCATGCATGAAATGTCGGTAACACGAGAGTATTATTGCTCAAATAAAAAAGATAAAAATGAATTTAAATTTCTAGAAAAAATATAAATATTAAAATGATAATATATATAAGAGGCCCTCCACCACCCCCGCCGAATTCTTATCGGCGGTCCTCTTTTGTTTACGTTAAATTGCGTTTTTACTACAAAACTATAGAAAGAGAGATAAAGTTACATAGTGAAACTAAAAACATGATATACAATAAAAATATGTACAATTTTTCATTATGACATAAAATTACATCTGAACATGTTACATGTGTTTACAATAATACGCACCTAACTCTTACAATATGTATAAAACATTAATAGAAAATGTTACACAATACACACAACGTGTTACATATGCGGCTGTGCTTATAATTGTACAACATTTTTTATTAACGTGCAAACGAAAAATCAAACTGTAAAGGCAAATTTATCAATCAATTGCAAATGAAACTATCGATTAATAGACTAAGTGAATCAAATTGAACTAAAATTTCCCGTACAGCACAAAACTTGCAGTTACATTACAATTAACATTACTACAATATTCCAACATTGTTGCTGTAATGTAGCTGCAATGTAACTGCAAGGTTTATGCTGTATGGGTTTATTCGATAGAAACAAATCAACCTATACATACATATAGAGGCCCTCCACCTCCCCCGCCGCGTTTAATCGACGGTCCTCTTTTCTTTACAATTTGATTTCTTACATTTTTATTATTTATTTCATTCTTCTTATCACTTACTTTGCAATACACTTACAATATTATAAAAGAAATAATAACTTTATAAATTTAAAAATAAAATATCTGTACAATACCTACAATATTTCTCTCGACGTTATATATAAAATATTCGCTATACGTACAATAACATGAAATTCTTTTTACATACTTATTATATTAAAATTATTGTTGCTTCGTTAATTTATGTTACCTAATTTTTTAAACTATCGAATTATGTCCCCCTAACTCTGACTATCCGAATCCCTACCTACCCGTATTCCGATTTATAGACCTACCTACCCGTGTTTCAACATAATAAACCTACAAATCTTTAATTAACCGCGACGCGATTTTCTAGGAGTTTTACTTAGGGTTTAACGCGACCGCCGGATTTACTAGGGGTTTCACTCTCGCACATATGCGAGAATGTATGTATATGTATAGAAGCATAACCCACCCGAATTGTGACAAATCAAAAGAAATCAAAGTATACTTCGTACAGCACCTTACTTAGGTGCTCCATTAGAGTGGCCAATATTGACCACTTACCTCGTGTATTTAGTCCTTCGGTGGGCCAGATTGGACCTACCTTTCGTTGCTCCCGGCCATACAATCTGATCATTTTGACCAGAGATCAGGAAGGAAGAAAACTCCTTCCATAGTCGGTTTATCACCGACAGATATTTCGTACGGTTCGAACTATATGCGAGCGCCGATCGTATCGAAAAATGCACGACCACGAGAAGTTAATTAAAGAAAAATATTAATTCAAAGAACTTTACGGTATGTACGAATCAAATTTATGTTTACTTCCGTTATTATTTAAAAATGTTGACCATCTCTTCGTAAATTGATCTCTGAATTCAAAATTCGAGTAGATATAGAAAAACAATTACTTCGCGTTAGAGTAATCTTAATCATATTTCACGATAGATTGAAATTTATAATATGGATAAAATTGAATTAATAATTTCTTGAAAATTTTTCTTGAAAAATTAATCGCGAAAACCGACCGCGAAAATACAAAGATGCATGAGACTACGCATTTATTCATGCGAGACGCATCTTGAAAGTACGTATATCACATCTGAATATAGGTAGGTACATACTCAGAATAAATGAGGTGAGATCCAGAAAGAAGGAACTTGCCGCACGAGTGACACCGATATTATAATTGAATATTACAGTCAATCGATAATTTCAAATAAAGTATGAAAATAATTTCAAATTTAAGCATTCTCGACAAAATATAATGAAATCTCACGTCATATTATTTTACTTTATACATGTATTAATTCTTTAATTCAAAATGGATAGGCTACGAGAGATTAGTTGGCCGAATACATCGATAATATCCGTCAAAAATGAGCTCAACATACTCTGATTTGTAGAGCTCTATTTAATTCAAAGGCGAAATTATTTGTAACCTATCCATTTTAACGTAACGGATCTACGAAATGTATCTACAATCTACGATCAAAAAATGTAGATTCCGTTACTTTAATAAAAAACTTTTCGCTCACCGACACGATGCGCAGCGGCGGAGTTGTATCTACGTTGATTGAATGGCGCCCGATGCCTCCTCCTCCACTCAGGTGTCGTCCTCTCAGTATCTCAGCTGTCCTCCGACACATTCGCCAATTTACACTTCCGTTAGTAAAGTCCCTTGTCACTGTCACTGTATCCAAATGATACTTTTTGGGTTATCTCTGTGTCCGATTGTCACTGATTTCGATTGTCACAGAGTTCGATTGCGCACTACGAACTGTTCGATTACATCGTCGCACTGATACCCGCACAAATCACTGACACAAATCGCGAGAATTCAGCGATCGCACGGTGATATCAATCACTGATTATTCGCAGAGAACGAACGCGGTTTCTTCCCGCACTTGTCGCGAACGCGTATCAAGAAAGAATATACGGAATATACGATATGCGAAGCGGCGCGGGCACAATCGATCAATTTGACAGTCATAGCGTGAATGATCCTGTGTAAGGCACCGTAAACTCCTCGGCCGAAAACCAAGCGGATTTCAAGAAGTGATGTAGCGCCGACACACTCGCGGATTTACACTTCCGTTTTTAAAGTGACTTCTCACTGTCACTGTATCCAAATGCCACTTTTACGGTTTTCACTGTGTCCGATTGTCACTGAGTTCGATTGCCACTACGATTACAACGTCGCACTGATGCCCGCACAAATCACTGACACAAATCGCGAGAATTCAGCGATCGCACGGTGATATCGATCACTGATTATTCGCAGAGAACGAA